AATCCCTTTCTTAAAAAAGGTTCCTCAGATAACTTAGGCCCTGGCTCAGTTCCTCCAAATGTGACACCCGACATGCTGAAAATGGCAACTGATATGATGGGCAAGATGTCTCCAGAAGAAATGCAAAAGATGTTTACAATGGCATCTTCATTAAAAGAGAAAAGTCCAGTATCAGCTGCAACAACTATTGATTCTAATGGGTCAGGTCAGCAGTCAAAACCTCGTGACACTAGGGAAAATTTTAAAGTGGATGACAGTACAAGTGCAAGCACTTCATCACAAGGGTTTTCTAATTTAAATAATGGTTCTTACTCAAGCTTATCAAGTTCAAATGTTGATCTGCAAGAAGAAATGAGAAACCGAATGAAAGATCCAGCCATGAGACAGGTTTTACTTCAGTCCTTTATTGTGGAAATAGTATTTGTCCTCTGTTCTGTATTTTGATATTTGATGCATATTAGGGGCTTTATTATTTTCTTGGTAATGGTATGTATTTTTGTATTGCCTATACCACTAATAAAGATCCAATTATATTTCCCTAGTGTTCACACTGCTAACTCAAAAAATCCTGAGTTAAATTTGTAAAATACCCTAGTTCCTCCACTAACCAAATCATTATTTCTTACTTTCTTTGTTTTAAGATACCATTCCACTTTGAATTGTCCATATCTGAAAGAGAAACAACAACATACCAGTGTAATTTCACAAGTGGGATCTGGGAAGGTAGAATGTGCGCAGAACCCCTACCTTGGGAGGTAAAGAGGTTGTTTCTGATAGACCAACAACATATCAAAGTAGATCGAAAAAGAAATATGGAATTGAATCGTCCATGACAAATAATAAAGGAAGCAGGAAAAATGAATAGTAACTACAACTGAATACTAAGATAATTGAAGCACAAAAAACAACAGATAGTAACAAAAATCGAAGAACAATAATCTACAAGAGTAGTACTACTAATACGGGTGTTAGATGAGAAGCTAGACAATGCACAACTACCTATTAACCTTCTAACCTAATTTTTGTCCTCCATAACCTTCTATTTAAGGTCATGTCCTCAGCCAATTGACATTGCATCATGTCCTGTCTAATCACCTCTCCTCAATACTTCTTCAGCCTACCTTTACCCCTCCTAAAACCCACCAAAGCTATCTTCTCACACCTCAACACCAGCGCGTCTGTGCATCTTCTCTTCACATGCCTGAACCATCTCAACATTGCTTCCCTACAATATATTTGTTTACTTTAGATGAACACCAAATCCCAAACTGAATGCTATCATCACATTTAATGGAACTACCTGGCAAACAGATTGACTTGCTCTCTCAGGGTGTTCTCCTCCATTAGCTCTTGTTGCTCCAATAATGTAAGTACGCTTGCAAGGATGATTGAAATTTGAACTGGAAGCAAGCGCCATAGCCATAGATGCCCGTCCTCAAATAATAAATACAAGCAGCCTTGTTGGGTCGTATATGATTGAATTGCCACATAGAAATCTTGATTGAACGTCCATATCTTTCTATTTTCCTCTATTTCCGGGTAGAAATAAATGCATACATTGGACTTTGATGTCTTACTGGTTTAGATATACGATGAGATGATCATCAACTAAGTTTCTCGGACTCTTCACTTTTGGTGCCGCACCCGTGTTGACACGACATGGGTGTGGGTGTGAGATCCGTGCCTGATTTGGTCACCGATTTTGGGTACTTTGACCAACATCGATGGGGATGTCTGGACAGTTTGAATGATTTCTGTAATCAATACAAAAGCTAAGGTGAAGTGAAGAAAATGACATACCTTTTGTATAGAAATTTCTATGTCACTCCTTTTCCTTTAATCTCCTTCAAGGATTCTCATCAAGTTCTCCACATAATATCTCATAATGTATTAGTTTCAAAAAATAATAACTCATAATGTATTTATAACTCTATTTTTAGATATTTTAATTATTTTTAGGCGAATCCCCGCACCCGTTTTCATATATGGATCCATATCCCGGAATCTTAAAAATTAAGTCATGAATGATCCAACCTCTAGATCCGCACCCATATTGGACACCCACACCCGAGTCTAAGCAACTTAGATCATCAAAGTTAGGGAATCTCAACTGGAATACCTCACTGCACCAGTACCGGTTGTGAGCCACAGTCAGCGAAGAGTTTCTGTTCTTTGTCCCCTAAATGCATTATAAATTGTGAGGAAAATAAAAATAATAAGTGGAATTCTATAGGTTTAGCTAAAGACGATTTCGGAAATTAGAAACTTATTCCTTTTTGTTTGGGGCGAGCTCACTACATTGTCTCATTGAGTAGTGTTCCCTCATAGAGGAAAGAGAGATGGATGAGTAAAAAAATATGTATAAAAGCACATACATTGATGACAGCATGAGTCGAGTGATGAAAGATCTTCACGATATGTGCTGTAAGCATATTAGCTAATTACCCTGTTTTGGATCCTATTCTGTCAGCAATCCTCTCTTGTTTTATTTCTTGTATATTCTTTTTCTAGAATAATTGCCTTGTGTTGTGAACTTCCCGATAAAACTGTCTACTTTTCTAATAATTACCAATATGGGGGGGTTAAACTTCTCTGTCCTTTGTATTTATTTGCTTACAAGCTTTTACAGAGGCTCTGCCTTCAATTACTACTGTGTTATACGTGCCTATACCTGCTTTATGCTGATGTATCTGGGTTCTCATTGATTTACTCCTTGACACGTGGTTTCATCAAATTGACAGATGTTCTCTTCAATGATTAAAAATATGAGTCCAGAGATGATGTCTAACATGAGTGAACAATTTGGGGTGAAGCTCAGTCAGGCAGATGCAGAGAAAGCTCAACAGGCAATGTCATCTTTGTCACCAGATGACTTGGAAAAGATGGTAATTAATCAAAATGTCCTATCCCCCTTTTCTCTGTTTCTCTTTAAAGAAGATGTGTACTTTCCTCATTAAGTTGTTTTGTATCATTGTGATTCACGTGATTGGCACTTGTAATGCGCCTTCACTTAGAACCGATACTTATTTTCCCAATTTATGAAAAACCCGTAATCTCTCGTGTCTGGTCCAAAAAAACTAAATGGTCATTGAGCCTTGAGAAGTCATAGGAGAAAGATCAAGATCTTATCACTTTAAAGGGGAGCACATCTGAGTGAAGTGGCGCTTTGTCTTTTCAACTTTATAGTGGGTGTATATTTTTATCCTCTCTAGATGGGAATGTGTCGAGCATCATGCTTTGGATTATGAGGTTTTGTCGTAATTTGGCATTTGCAAATTGGATTCTTTAATGAAATAAACATTGGCTGTTATAGCTAAGTTCCAAACATTTGCTATAGCCATGGTGATGTTTACTTCTAACACGTCTTCTAGCGTCTTGTTACAATATAAATAGAATATGTAACCACGAGAACCACTTGAGCAGTAGGGCTTGAGCTCTTGAGAAATTTCTATCACCTAATTATTTTCTGGGTTTTGTAATTATTTTAACCATCTTTTCTAACCGTTGTCTTGTGTATTATACACTTCACTGTTACACACGGTAAATCTATATTTTTTCCGAATATTGCAGATGAAGTGGGCTGATAGAATTCAAAGAGGAGTTGAAGGTGCGAAGAAGACAAAAAATTGGCTCTTAGGAAAACCTGGCATGATCTTGGCTATACTTGTGCTACTTTTAGCAGTCATCCTTCACAAGCTGGGCTTCATCGGGAGCTAGACTTGACATGCTAGCCAAATATTAGCATAAAGAGTTGAGTAGAGTTTGGAATCCTTGTTGTAATGCACTTGAAATGGGGATATCAGTGGGTAAACCGTTGGTTGAAGATGACACCAGTTACTTTCGTTATATTACGTTTTTTTTCTTTCTTTATTTGGGTGTTTGTAGATGTATCTGCAACTTGACAAATTATTTAGTTCGTTGTTTCGCGGTAGAACCCACCATTTCTAGATGAAGTTTTGGCAAGACTTTACCCTTTACAAATTCAGAAATCATGAACTTACTGACTGAGGTATAATTCATATTACAAAAAATTAGTAGTTCCTTTTTTTGTCTGTGATTTATATTTGTCCTGTCTGGTGAAATGTTCCCAACATTTTTAGTAACTTAAACAAATATAGAATATGGACATTTGTAAATGTAGTGAACTAATAATGGCAACTGCATTAGTAGGGCCGTTATATTTGTCTTTGTTCGAGTGTTAAAGAGTATATAACGACAATTTACATGTTGAAATAAGCATATGATCGAATCTTGATATAAAGCAGCTCATGTAAGGTCAAAAAAAAAAAAAAAACTACTCAATGTGGTGATAAGAATGACAGGGAAATTCACCTGCTAAGTCTCACAGAGTAGGAGTTAGGAGGATCAATATAATCCGTGTAATTTCACAAATAACAATCTTCTGGTGTAGGTAGATCTCATCTTTAAAAATAGTACTCCTTCTATTCCATTTTATGTGAGGTATTTTAATTCGATACGAAATTTAAAATTTTTTTGAAGACTTTTAAAACTTGTGATCCAAAATGAATGATATAAATTTGTGTGGCTGTAAATCATTTCATTAAAGGTAAAATAGATATTATATAGTTAAATTATTATTTAATATAAAAATGTGTCATTCTTTTTGAAACGGACTAAAAAAAAAGTTAGTCACATAAATTGGAACGGAGAGAGTATTTTTGATAGATTCTCGTTTTGAAACGGTCACATTCATCTTACTTGCAGCAATAAGCAAATAAAGAAATAAAATATATACAAATGTAGCATTGTGAAGGTCACATGGACCAAGTCTCATTACTTCTCTAAAAAGAGAGATTTTTTTATAATAAGAAAGAAAAAATCAACGGCGTGTCCACGTAATAATCGTGTTCGATGAATTTTTACTCTACCCAACTATTTTTTGGGCAAAATACACAATATACAAATCCATTAATCTTCAATTTCTGTCTCTTTCACCTTTTTTTTCTTCTTAATTATAATTATAATTGCATTTTAAGTCCTTACTTATTTTGATTATGCCATGTTAAGTCCTCCTCTCTCTGAGATAGGGTCCTCCAAAACCCAGCTCCATAGAACCGGTCCCACATCTCCGTTTCAAAATCGGCGGCTTCTTGTACTCCGTCGTCGTCTTCACCGTCAAATTTCTCCCGATCGCCGTCGTCTTCATCATAGGCACCAAGGTAAACATTTTTATTATTCTTCATCGATTTCCATGAATCCTCCTCTTTCTTCTTCTTCCTCAAAAGCCTCTCCCGCTTCTTCTTCCTCCATATATTCCGGCATAGTCCCGTCGGAACTTTGTACACCGCTAGTACCAATAAATGCATCACCGTCCATGGACAACAACAGCATACCATTGCACACTCCGCCGCTGTGCCCCCAGCTACCTCCCCTATCCGTTTATGAGTGCTGCAACTCCGTTTCTCTTTTTCCTCCTCCTTCATTGTCTCCAATTTCACGAAATTACTCGTCGGAGATTAAACAATTCACAGTCAGTTATCGTAACTGCAACAGATAATCATGAAACTCAAATCAAACTTTTCGGAAATGAATTCGGCCTTTATAAAAGACAAAACCTGTTCAGTCAAGTGAACTTAGAAAATCATCGATTTTACGGAAACTGAAAAAAATCTAGCTAGAGACGTAAGATAGTGGGAGAGGCTATTTATACTTGAAAGAAACAGAACCGTGTGTTGATTTAGCTTCTTCTTTTTTTCACGTTTATTAAAAACAAAATAATAAATGGAGTATAAAATGTAATTTATTTAATCATTTTAGTATATATCTTCCTTTTATTTTCTTCGAAAAAATATTACGTAGATTTCTATGTAAAACAATTTAACATTAAAAGGTTTAATTTTTTATTTTTAGCAAGATATTAATAGTCATACAACTTATAATTTCTTTTTTACATTTCGTGTCTGAGGTAGTTATAGTTCTTAACATTTTGAATACTATACTTTAGTGATAAAATTGGTATTTTTCTGGATATAACAAAAATGATATATTTTTTTATTGGTGTCTCATTCGATGTTTAATACGTATCATATTAGGATTAGACTAAATTCGAATTATTGTTCAATTATTGCTGTGTTTTTCTGCATAATTTTATTTATGAAATAGGAGTAGAAGAAAGAGACAAGTGATGCCGCGTCAGCATGCATAGGGAATGGACACATTCAAAACACGGCTCTGATTCATATTTCGGCTGAATTTATGATATCCATTCCTCTCCTTTGACTGTCCAATTGCAATTTTCTTTTATTTTTCATACTTACTCCTTCTCATATTATTTATCTCAATTTATGTGTTATTTTTCATTTTCTAAAAGTTAAATTGATCAAAAATTTATTTATGAAATCTTCAATCATTTTGAAATAAAATTTTATATTTGTAAACTATGTAAAAGACACTATAAGTCCAATAACTAAATTCAAAATAATTACTCATTCCATCTATCTTTACTTGTCCATTATATTTTTTTGAGATATCCAACAACACTTGTCCAGTTTATAAAATTAATGAATAATTAACTATTTTGTGTTTATTTTACCATTGCTATTAAATATTCCATCCGTCTCAGTTTATGTGTTATATTTTGTATCTCGAGATTCAAACAAATCTAATTTTGATCGTAAATTTTTCATATAACTTTTAAATATTTGAGAGTGTCAATTATTGTGACTTATATTATCCTTTACATAATTTACAAATATATAAATTTCATTTTTTTAAAAATGAAGATTTCGTAGGCAAATTTTCGGTCAAACTTAAACTTTTTGACTCTCGAAAAATAACATTATCGACCAACTATTTATAGAAAAGAATTACATATAAAAAGGGACGGAGGGAGTAACTAATAGGGGTGATTTGATAAAATTATCTCTATATTTACTGCTTCTTAATTTCTATGTCAAGTCAATAGTTGATGACTATTATTGGACAAATGGAGTAAAAGATATATAAAAAATTTACGGATATAAATTTATTTGAATCTTGAAATCCAAAGATGCTATATAAGTTGGGACGAAGGCAATATTAATTAGAATATTATTAAAAAAATTTATTGCATAATATTTTAGTGTCAAGTCGAATGACAAATATAAATGAATGAAATAAGTATTTATTATTAATTTATAACATTTAAATATAATTAATTAACTTTTTAATATTATTTTTAAAAAATAAGTATTTTATAGAGTAAATAGTTCATTTTGCTTGTTCGCTTTGATAGCCAAGCATCAGGCAATAACTTTGATTTTTTAATTTGATGTTAAGAAAATTCACTTCTTGATACAAGATTTGTTGTCTTAAATCTTTTTTTAAATACCTAACTTTTGATATTCGAAATTGGGCCACTTGTGTTTTCTCCAATTTATACATAAATTTTATAGCACATCTTAATATTCAAATTTACAAAATTTAACACTAATCTTAATAGAAAATAAAATAGAGCTAAAATATAAATATGAGTTTTACAAACTTCTAAAAGATTTTCAGCTTAAAATATTTATTTATATTCAATTATATATAGTAGGAGGGGTAAGTGAACTAAAGCCACATGTTGAGAAATAAAGCTCAGTTTGATTCATCACGCCAAAAAAGTACTCAATAAATATTAAAGAAACTAAGAAAAAGAAAGTATAAATAAATATATTTCTATTATAAAAAATAAATGATACATAATCAAAGGGAAAGTTCAAAGTCTTCCTCGCTTTTCCTTTCTGTGGTTGCCTCTCAAAAAACCCAAATTCATCTGATCAGTTTTTTGTTTGATCCTCCCTATTAGTTGAAGCTTCTTTGAGGTAAATCTTTGTTTTGTTAAGTTGATCAATTTTAATTTAATGGGTGTTTGAAATTTAGCTTCTTTTTACTAATTGGAGTACTGGGTTCTTGTTTTCTTTTCCCTTTCCCCCCTTTTCTAGTTCAGATGATTGAATTTGCGTTTCTCTGATGTGGGTTACTTTTTTTTTTTTTTTGGAAAGGGATAATTAAATGAAGATTTTGATATTTGATATATGTTGATTATTTTAATTTTAAAGATGGTGTTAGATTGTGTGGTGATATTTGGGGGTGGGGTGGCTCTTCTTAGTACTGGTGATGAGTTTGAGATGTTATTCTATAAAGTTTGTTTGATAAAAATGGAATCTTGGGGTTTTTCTCTGAGATGTTGTTGGAGGTGTATTAATCAGTTATGAATTTTTAATCCAAGATAAAAAAAAATTGGAAATCTAACGGGAAAGAAACTTAACTCTAGTGAGACATTGTATTGTCTCTATGTAGCATTTGATTTTCACTTGCAATGTAGTAGCCATATTACCAGTGTAAGTAAAAAGCAGACAATTTGGTGTTGAGGGTTTTCTTTAGATTTTCTAACTTTGCGTATGGGATTAGAAGTTAGAATGCTTGTTGTTTTCTTGGTTTCTTTATTAAAATAGAGTAATGTTTGAAAGGTTTTATCTTTCGACAGATGGAGGAGGGCAAGATGTCTGAGGATATTTTGACTTCGGCTGCAGCATTTGTGGAAGGTGGAATTCAGGATGCCTGCGATGATGCTTGCAGCATATGTCTTGAAGAATTTTCTGATAGTGATCCTTCTACAGTATGTATTCTTCACATTATCCGGTATTAACGTGAACAGTAGTGCTTCATCGTGGAGTAATATTATCTTTCAACTTGCAGGTGACAGGCTGCAAGCATGAGTTCCATCTTCAGTGTATTCTAGAATGGTGAGTGAAACCGTTCTCTATTAATTAGATGTCTCATGTCTTAAGTGTTCTTTCACTTATCTTTCTGATGCATAACACCTTTTATGACTTCCCCAAAAGATGACATTTTGTGGATTTTGATGGCTGCCTTAGGGCCTTTGTTCCTCTAATGCCGTAAAGATGAGTTTAAGGCTTTCTTGTGTAAAATTAGGATTCTCCATGGAGTGCCTCTGGTGGGAACATATAAGCTAGATAGGGCCTTTGGATTTTCCCTTTGTATCTGATATATTACTCTGTTGCCCAACTTTTGGATTACATGGTTTTGTTGGAGGATTATGTGCTCCTATTGAACAGTTTGCTTGAAGATGTAAGAGGAAGGTGGTCATTTTGATTTCAGCATTGTGATTCTTTCTGATAAGTAACACACCATAAATACATAGTGCTTGATGTTGCTCAGTGATTGTGACTATAGTGGAACGTAGTCGTAATTGATGACTCAGAAAAGGGTGTGACATCCGTAGTTTCTTCCATGATTTTTGGTGTTTCATCTCATCTGATCTTTTTACCGACTGCCCAGTCAGCAGGAGGAGGGAGTTGTTCTTACTGTTGGTTTCTTGCTGTTTCTGTCTGGAATAGTAAAAGAGTGAACAACATAATGAAAAGTCACTTCTTGAATCACCAAAATCTTCTATTACCATTGAATCCGTTTGGAAGGTTAAATGCAAGTTGTGTTAATTGATTGAATCATGATTAAATTTGCTATTTTGTTATTAAAATTAGATAAAGACAACATTGGAGCATTTGATTTCGTACTTCTTATTTGGAACAAAGTTGTGTTCTTTAGAAATTGTCATGGAAGATAATCATTTGAAAGATTATGAGCTTTGGATCTTGATTGTATGTGCTGCAAACTGTGTCAAAAAGGCATGCATAGAGCTTTATTTCATAGCGAGTATCCTGATAATTTTGAATGCATGTGTTGTAGGTGTCAAAGAAGCTCCCAGTGCCCCATGTGTTGGCAACCTCTCAGCTTGAAAGACCCTAACAGGTTCTATTTTATTCTCAAATCAGCCACTTGCTTATCACTCCATGATCTTCCCAAGTCCTCCTTCAAAGGCTTATTGATAAATGTGCTTCTCTTACAGCCAGGAATTGTTGGATGCAGTAGAGCACGAGAGGAACATCAGGATGAATCCTCCTAGAAACACCACAATCTTCCACCATCCAACTTTAGGAGATTTTGAGTTGCAGCATGTTAGCATTTTTTAAGTCAACACAATTTTTTCTTCTTATAAGCTGTTTATGGCCCATTTTGTGACAAAATCTTGTGGCACATTTCTTTCACAGTTACCGGTAAGTGCGACTGACTCTGAGCTTGAAGAGCGTATCATTCAACACTTAGCTGCTGCCGCTGCCATGGGAAGGGCACGCCACATTGCTAGAAGAGAAGGTCAGCGAGGTAGGTCCTCAGCTCAAGGTCGTCCCCAGTATCTGGTGTTTTCAACTCATCCAAATGCTCCTGCTGCTGCTGCTGTTCCTGCTTCATCTTCTAACCAGAGGAGTGGGGGTGAACCCACTCCTGAAGTCTCGGTTTCTGGTCAGGATTCTCAGATTATTGCTGTTGGAGAAGGTTCGGGACAACTACTTTCTCAACCTCCTTCTTTTCAAGCTGATGAGGTTTCTGCCTCTGGGTCAGGATCAAATGCTGCTGTTAATCAACTTGGAACTTCGTCACATAATAGGTAATTTTGTTTGTCAGATTTGTCCAGAGTTTTGATGGCTTCCTCTTTTATGTTGCCGTAGATGAGTTGCATATTATATTCATGGGACTGGATCCTCCAAAATGGAATGAGTTCGTAATTACTACCACAAGAAAGCCGCCACCCTCACCCTTATGAGTTGGGGCACAACAAAAAGGCCTTCTCGTGTATTTTTCCCCTTTTTGATGGCTATCTTATGCCTCTTAATTCCCAATCACCATGAATGAAGAGTGCGTGAGCAAAGACTCGACATATCATAAATATTTAATTTTAAGAAAAAGGGGAAGAAGGGGAAAATAAAGGACAAATGAGTCCACTCTATTCTCTTATTTGTGCTTATTATTGAGTTACCGTATTGTAGGAGGAATCCTTCTCAATCTTCTCCTAACAATCAAGACAGAGCCGGACCATCAGATTTTCAGTCTTTTTCAGATTCTATGAAGTCTCGGTTTAGTGCAATGTCAATGAGGTACGTGGAAACTCTAATATCATCTTTTCTCATTGTTCAGGTAACTTCTTAAACATCGGAAAATTTTAATTGTTTGCAAGTCTTATTTACTTGCTTTGATCGTTGTTTTCCAGATGCAAAGAATCTTTAACCAAGAATTCAAGGGGTTGGAAGGAGAGATTTTTCTCTCGCAACAGTTCAACATCAGACAATGTTCCTGAACCTAGGAATGAAATGAGGGCAGCTGTTGCCACTGTATCACACATGATGGACCATCTGGAAACTACAGATAGCAGAACCAGTTCTGCTGAATCAAATATACTGGACGGTACTTTACCTGACAGACATGCTGAGCAGCATATTCCTGAGACTGATGATACTCATTCTATAAATGAGGATAACAGGCAATCCCCATGTGCTGCAAGTTCTGGTTCAAACTAAGTTTTATATGAGTTGAAGCATTTTCTCTTCAAGGTAACTTGTCTTCTTCTAAGATTTACAATTACTTTTGTCTCTCCACCCTACTCCAAACTCAAACAAGAAAAAAAGAAACAGAAAACAGAAATAAAACGAAGTGGGAGAACAGTAAGAAAAAATGGAAGTTTTTTTTTTTCCATGGATACTACATGCTGATGGCTTTTGTGGTCTCCAATGAGTTTGGCACTTAGCACCTAGAGATATGATGATAGGAGCTGCTCCTTAAATTTCAAATGCATACACATTAGTCACATTGACACAAAAACCCTTTGTTGTGTCGAAGCAAGTTGCTATAGCCTATAGCAGTATACCATTGAGCACATTGACTGCCTTAATTGTCATATGGCTTCTGCTGCTTTCTGGCATATCCACATGACTAGAAAATGTCTCTGTTATGAGATGTATATTTTGGTCAATATCCATAGAAAGAAACCATTGCTATATTCAGGATAAACTTCTATCCTTATCTTTGTGTATTTCAGATGCACCAACAGAACTTGTAATTTTTGGAATAGAAGTGCAGTGGGAGGCTTGGAACAGAAGCTAGAGTATTTTCTTTTGATTACAGTGGTGTACCCAGCCATCTTATGCGCACCTCGACTTATTCCATGGGGTACGTGCTACCTCCTACCAGCACAAGTACTAGGTAACTTTGTCGATCAAGGCTTGGACAGAGAGGAAAAATCACCTACTGTTTTATTTTCACTGGGATTTAAACCTGAGACGTCATGGTTATCTATGTTGCTCGGACTCTTCAAAAATGTCAACGGGTGCGTGTCGGATTCGCCAAAAGTAGTGTATTTTTGAAGAATCCAAGATGGGTGCGGCATCAAAAGTGAAGAGTCCGCGCAACTAAGATGGTTATCATGCCTTTGAATCGACCACTAGGCCACCCTTGGGTACACATGCTTGATTCTGGACTCCTCCATATGTTAAGTCCTGGAATTCCCCATCACTATATCATGGAATATTTTAAACTTCTAAGAAGCTTTGGCTAAACTACTTCATTTGTATGCTAGGAATAATAGTAATGTGCAGAACTGCTCCTATGATGAACTTCAAAATGAAGTTCATACTTTTGTAGTGAATTGCTGTGACCAGATAGTTCATGGATAAGCTGATAAGGCAGACTGATAAATGCTAAGCTAAAATTCTAGAGTCTCCAAAGCTTTGTTAGTTTCACCATCATGAAGAACTTGTCAAACATTTCCATCTAGACGAATAATTTGTTCTGACCAGTGACCAATATCAAGTCCCATTAGAAGTGGTCTTACAAATACCACAGATAGACATTTATGTGTCTTCCCATGATTTCCTTTTAGTACTATTTGATACAAACCAGATTCTTCTTCTTCTTCTTCATCTTCTTCTTCCTCTTTATCTCTCTCTTGGCTGTTTGGAAGGACGGTGTCTAGGACCAAAATTATCTGCAATTTTCTTGCAATTCCATTCATTCTAATATAGTTTCTGGTTGTGTCTTCTTGATAAACAACACTACCTATCTATTACAATGAATTTGTCTTTCTGCAGGTGGATACTCTTGCCAGCATCGATGATATATGGTGTGCATCTTATTGGACGTGTGGGGAAACACTAATCCGTTGAAGTGCAACACTGAATGTTAAGATATAGAGGGATGGATGTCATCATTTTGTCCAAACCGTGTATATGTATGATTATATAGATGTAAATTGACCCATTCTGGGTAGTAGTACTGATGACTTCAGCTGTTCTCTTTAATCTTACATGAAACCCTCCTTTGTAATCTTCATAGACATTGCTGGACAGTTACTTGACCAAGGTTTTCTTGGGATTCAGTTGCACGACATGTTCATCTTTAACAGACGTCAATTTTGAGTAAACGTTGAATTTGTATATTGATTAGACATTTTCCTGGTGCCTTCTATATTGTTTAGTTGTATGATTTATGATCGTATAAGTAGTCCTCATAGCATTATAGGCACTAGAACTTTACCTTATCAATGCCTTTTAATGGTTTCATTCTTTCTCTTGCTATGTTTTTATTCAGAGTTGTGTATTGGCCTGCAAGTGGCCACACACACCAAAAAAAAAAACAGAGATGAAACGGAAGGCCAGTCTAGTGGTGTCTAACTTTTGCTTTTTTTGTTATTTCGAAGATGCAACGACTGCAATGTTTTTCTAATACAGAGTTCATTGAGTTCGAGTAGTGATTGAATATGGTTGTTTTGTGTTATGAATCACTCAAAAAGTTCACTGATTGAGTGATCCCATCTCATTTTAAAAAAAAAACCCCTCAGGACCCATAGCTAATATTCCAATCAATGCATGCTCTTATTTGCCTTTCACGAAAGCGAAACAACAAACCTTGTATATCATTACAATAGTTTAAGTCCGTCTACCAAAGGATTGTGGTTACAACCAGCTACTAAAAGGAAAAAAATGTCCAAAGAGAAACGAGTTTTGTTTTCTTCCTCAATCAACAAATAAAGTTTTCAACATAATGCCAGAGCCCAATTTGCATTGCAGAGCTGTTACTAATAAATACATGGTGGTACAGGCTCGGAAGCAGAGACTGCTGCAGCATAGCAAGACAAGCACAATATAAGACTACTCGAATTTCTTTATTAGAGAAAGGTCTGTTAGCATTTTCTCAATTGCTTCCTCGTCAAGTGCACGTCCTCTATTCTGCAAGCATGGAAGGGATGTCAGTTAGCCCGAGTTTATGAAAAGAGTAATAGGAGGATATATTGCTGGATGATTAGACTGTACAATTGGGAAAACAATTTTCTTTTTGAAGATTCACTGTCAGGCACATTTTCTAAAGAATTCTTTTAGACTTATGGTGAAATGTTACGATCACACACACTGATGTACAAGCAGCTCTGATTAGATTAATGTTATGCCTTCTTAAACAAATGAAACAACAGATAATACATGGTGAAAAGACGAGGATCAATTTATACACCTCCAAAGTAAAAGACTTTTTTGGCAAAATTATTAGAACTTCCAAACCACCCATGTAATAAACTCTGGACGTTAAATCCCTCAAAGGACCAAGTAAGACAAAGAAAAGCTGCCTAACAAGTGAAGAAATTGTTTAGGATTGCCCATTTAAAGCATTTTGGATGTGTTGTCTGAAATTATAAAGTCCAGAAAGTACTACAACTCTAGATATCTGCAATGCAATATTTTCTTATGTAAGGTTGAATATCACGCATGAGTACCTTGATGGATGGGACCATGGCAATACCTTCCTCAACGGTTTCGGGGCAAAGATTCCCAAGAACACAGAGCTGCACAATATTCAAACATATAACTGCAGTTTCCATGAAGATATTGATGGTGGTACAAGTATGAAGTAAATTAGGAAAATTAAAAGATCAGATTCCTACCTCGAATTCAGCAAGTGGATACCTACTAAGGATCCTGAATCGAGGTTAAGGTTTACATTCTATAAAAGGACTAGTCATTGTAAATGCATAAATGTCAAAAAGAAATACTGAAGTTTTTCAATCTAAGCCACAGGTAGGAGGATACTCTCGAGCTTGTCTAACAGCATCAGGGTTCTTGTACCGACTGAAACGCTTCACATATTGCAGTGACTTTTCAAATACCCTGGAAGTCAAAGGTAACCAAATTAACCAAACTTGAGAACATGATGGCTACGCACATGTTATCTCTTCAAAAAAACATATTTAGATGTTGAAAGAGTATCACCATATCAGTTTGGCATAGTTTTCCTTAAGAATATTTCTTTGCATTTTGCCTATATATGAACATGAAAATTTCATAAAGTGGTTCGCATAAATTGAAAAGTTGATATGGAGGAAGACAACAACTTATCACAGACACAGAATACCAATTATTTTGTACAGGTAATCCAGCTTGCACTTAAATATCTGAGCATTTAATGACATAACAGGAACATCTAGATTTATATACATACTGCGAAATCTGATTGGTTGGATCATCAGACATCTGCTGGAGCTGCTCATACTTGTGTTCAAGAATCAAAGCGACTTCACAGTTCATTAGACATTTGGCCTTCAAAAACTCTGAAACCGAAGTACCAAAAGAAGTTAATGAACTTCATCAAGAGATGCTGTTTGTATGCATATGAACAGGAAAGAGACTACAGACTTTGCACAAGCTTTCACCATGAGTAATAGAGATAAGCTGGAGTGGTGACAAGGGAGGGGGATCCATTTGATGATTGGGGGCACACACTTAACCACTTCTCTCCAGCTTGGCTGACTGAATATGTGACAGGAGAAATTATCGCCTAGTTTATAACTTTAGGCTTTAGTATGGACAAGGACGAAGAAAATAAACTTCACGTATAGACTACAGTTAGCAGAGTATCCTTGTGTCAACTCTATTTCTCTCTCTCCACATGGTCCACATAACTGCTTAAGGAGTGACTTCCCAAGCTCTCCTCCTCACCCCTCTTATGCTTTCAGCAACTGATTAATATCTTCAGAGAAATTGGCCTTGCCAAGCAAAGGCCAAAAAGATTAAGCACAGCTTCCATTTATCACTGCCTTGCAGTGGGCGAGAATTTCAACATCCTCTCCCATCTCTTCACACAAGACCCACCAACTGACAAGCATTCCTCTTCATTTCCTATAATTCTCATCCATAAATATGGCACTCGAAGCAGCTGCCACATTAGAAAAAATGACCTCCTTTAGAGCTCTACTGCCCAGTACTGTCTGGGTAGGAAATTGTTTGTTCCCCTGTAGGGAGCTTTATTATAGACAGACTACCTATAGAACCCCTCCCTCCTCGCAATCTGTAAATTCGTCCTAAATTTCATATCTCAAGGAGAACGATGAATGCAAAACCACTAGTATAATCCCCCTCCACTTCATGCCTCAGCAATAACCTCTATTGCCTGAAGCCCTCAACAATCCATCAACAAACTTATATGGACAGCTGAAAACAATTCTGAAGTAACTAACCAAAGATTAAAAAAAAGCTTTAAAGATGCTCATCACGATACAGATGCTAAATAGTTAAGTTAGACATACAGTGAAGCAAGGCAGTTTGAAGTGACCAAAGTCTAAATGATCACCACATATGAACAAAAAACAATCTTTTTCTTGATCCAGAAAAAAGCAAAATGTAATATCAAGTCTCTTCTCATACACATTAAATCAATAAAAAGAACCATATGCACCACATAGTAGCCTCAGCCAGTTACCTATTTTATCCTGCATTATATTATTAAAAAAAAGACCCTAGAACCAATCCCAACAAATTGAGGGAAAAACCCAATACTACACAACCCATTATAGGAAAAACAAAATTTTGATGAAAAAACTTGACTCCCCTTGCCTTCATGGTTAAAAAAAGAAAGAAAAAACCTATTTTTATGAGTAAATTGAAGAAAAAAAAAGATTTTTTAAAGTATAAAACTCAATTTCCAGAAAGTAAAGCAATTCATATAACAACGAAACCGATTCATAAAGTGTATTAAAGAGTAATCTTATTTACCATCACCAATTTTGAGCTCAGCGGCGTTTTCTTCTTCTTCCCCAGACATCTTGTACTAGAAAAATTGCTAATTAAAGAAGCCAGCCTACTATATAAAGGCAAAATTCGAGAATTTGGAATTTAGGTTAATGTCCTCGAATTTTATTATAATTATGGTTATGCCCCAGAAGAAATCCTCCTTCTAATCCAATAACATATTTGAATGTGGAAATAAAAATATTATTTTTTAAAAAAAGAGGTAATAATGCTAAAAAAAATAATTACTTCTTTTGAATTTAATTCACTTGATTGAAATAAGGACCATACATGATCAATAAGATCATGGTAATATATATTTGATGATTAATCAAATACTTAAATTCTCATGTAAAAATATAATTGAATCGAGTCAATAAAAATAATTTTCTACATTTAATATTATAATCAATAAAATACATAACCAATTTATTAAATATATTATTTATTAAGAATCAATTGTATTTTTTCATCAAAATAAATAACTCTTTTTTTATTTTTATTTTTTAAATCTGAAGAAAAAAAACAAAAATCGAAATGTTAAAATTATTCATTCACAACTAATCAAAAATAATAAAAAGTATAATATGTATTTATTTTTTGATTCAATCGAAATAGTGCCTTTTTTTTCTTAGATATCCTTTTAAATAGTTTGTTAATGTAATTTTCTTTTGCACTTGTCGTGTATTCTCTTAGTTTACTTTAAATTTTATCGTTCTTTAAGAATAATAATTAATATAAATAATTTATTATAATAATAAAATAAAATAATTATTTTTTTCTTGATATGTCAAATTTTTTATTTTTTTTGGGTAACTCCAACTAAATTATTGTCCAAAGTGCCTACTAAACTTACCTTATAGGAAAGCTATTTTGGGCTTGACCTTCAAAAGAAAAAAAGGAAAGAAGAAAGCAGAAATAAATAAATAAATAAAAATAATAAAGAACAAATAATCAAAGGGAAAGTTAAAAGTCTTCTTCTTCCTCCATGTCCTTCCACTATTTTCATTTCTGTGGTTTACCTTTCAAAACCCAAAATTCTCCTGATCAACTTGTTCTTTGATCTGCCTTATTCATTGAAGTTTCTTTAAGGTAAGTTTTCAGTACTTGTATGGTTTTGTAAAATTGATTAATTTTACTTGTGGTGTCTGAAATTGAGCTTCTTTTACTAATTGGAGTAGTGGGTGGTTGGTTAACTTTTTTTTTAAAAAAAAAAAATTCCATTTTTCTGTTCAGATTTTTGTTTATCTGCGCGATTATGATGTGGGTTTCCATTTTTTAATTTATTTTTTTTTGTCTGTAGAGTGGTTTTGGGAAGAAGGGATAATATAGTGAAATTTTTTAATTTGTTATATGGTTTTTATTTTTATATTAAATTGTGGTGGGGGTTTCATTTAAACTCTTTTCAGTGCTGGGATTGAATTGTTGTTCACAACTTTGTTTAATTAACATGGAAATAATGGGGTTTAGTCCCCTATTTGTTATTCTTTGAGCTGCTGTTGGATGCTTATTAATCAATTGTGAAGCTCTTATCGGAGACCAGCTAACCGGTGTAACAGTAATTGCTATGTATACCGTATTAAACTGAAACAGAGAGACATTGTTTTGTCTCTGTAGCATTTGAATCTCACCTGTAATTAATTAGTCATATTACCAGTGAAAGTGAGAGCAAGTAAGGTAATTATTTGGTTTTGAGGGATTTCGTTTGGTTTTTGTAAATTTGCGTTTGAGATTAGAAGTCAGAATGCTTGTTTTGCTTTTTTGGTTCCTTTATTAAAGTTGAGTGATGTTTAAAGGTTTGATCTTTTGACAGATGGAGGAGGGCAAGAAGTCTGAGGATATTTTAACTTCGGCTGCGGCATTTGTGGAAGGTGGAATTCAGGATGCTTGCGATGATGCTTGCAGCATATGCCTTGAAGCATTTTGTGATAGTGATCCTTCTACTGTACGTATCGTTCACATTATCATATGTAATGAACGGAATGGGCTCTATCATTGAGTAACATAATGTTTTAAATTTGCAGGTGACTGGTTGCAAGCATGAGTTCCATCTTCAATGTATTCTTGAATGGTGATCCAAATGATTCCCTACTAATTAGACATCTCATGTCTAAACTGTTCTTTTCACTTATCTCTATGATGCATAACACCTTTTTATTACTTGCCCAAAAGATGACATGTTGTGCACATAGATGGCTGCCTTAGGGACTTTGTTGTTCCTCTTGTGCTATAAAGATGAGAGTTGTAGGCTTCAATGTGGAAAAATTAGAATTCCCTATAAAGTGCCACTGGTAGGAACCATAAAATGGACGTAGAGTATTTTGACAACGTCAAAGAGCAAAATACTGCAATTAAGAATGATATAGGGCTTTTGGAGTTTGTCTTTTTATGTGATATATTACTCTGTTGCCCAACTTTGTAGTGCATCGTTCTCTTAGAGGATTATATGCTCCTCTTGGACCTTGAAAATGTAGGAGAACAATGGTGACTTGATTTCAGCATTGACTCTTTTTTGTAAGTAGCCTGTCCATAAATAAACTGTACGTTACGTTGCTCACTGCTTGTGATTAGATGATGTGGAATGTAATCACAATTGATGACAGAGAAAAGGGTGTCACACCAGTAGTTTCTTCCACGATTTTTGGTGTTTCATCTCATCTATTTTGTACCAGAGTTTCCACAAAAGAGTCCAGCAAGCAGGAGAAGGGAGGGGGGGGGGGGGGGGGGGGCGGGGGGGAACATAAGAGGGTTTAAAAAAGTACTTCGAAAAAATATATGATAAAAAGATTAATTGACTCTCCAAATAATAATAGTATCACATAAAATAAAAAGAAAGAATAGTATTAATTGGTAATCTTTAGCAACATGGTAAATTATATTATTGATGTATATAACTTAAAACGTAAAAGGAAATTACCCATCCAGTCATCTTGTTAGCATATATAAAATCCAAGTCACTCCAATTGTTGTCATCATAGATAGGAGGGGGGGGGGGGGGGGGGGGGGGGGGGGGGGGGGATGTTGTTACTGTTGGTTCCTTGCTGTGTCTGTTAGGAACAATAAAAGAGAGCAAAAAATGACTCTTTTTTTTATATAAACAATGGAAGTGACTTTTTGAATCACCAAATATCTCCTATTTACCATTATTCCAACCAAATCCTTTTGGAGATTAAATATAAGTGTCTTTGATCAATGGAATCGTGACTATATCGCCTATTTCTGATACTAAAATTAAATAAAGATCAAGTTGGAGCATTTTTTTTTGAACAAAGTTCTATTCCTTACCAATTATATTTGTCACTGAAAATTATCAGTTGATAGATTATGAACTCTTTGGATCTCTGACTGTATATGCTGCAAAATTTTGAGACTAAAAGGCATGAATGGAGCTTTATTTGACTGCGCTAATATCCTGAATAATTCTTGAACGTATGCTACGCAGGTGTCAGAGAAGCTCCCAGTGCCCCATGTGTTGGCAGCCTCTCAGCTTGAAAGACCCTAACAGGTTCTGTCTTATCCTCAAATCAGCCACTTGTTTATCACTCTATGATCTTCCTTAATCCTCCTTAGAGGCTGTTGATAAATGTGCTTCTCTTACAGCCAGGAGTTGTTGGATGCAGTAGAGCACGAGCGAAACATCAGGATGAATCCTCCTAGAAACACCACAATCTTTCACCATCCAACTTTAGGAGATTTTGAATTGCAGCATGTTAGCATTTTTTAAGTCCACACAATTTTCTTCTTTCTATGAGCTGTTTATGGTCCATTTTGTGACAAAATCTTGGGGCACATTCCTTTTACAGTTACCATCAAATGCAACTGATTCTGAGCTTGAAGAGCGTATCATTCAGCACTTAGCTGCCGCCACTGCCATGGGAAGGACACGCCACCTTGCCAGAAGGGAAGGTCCGCGAGGTAGGTCATCAGCTCAAGGCCGTCCCCAATTTCTGGTGTTTTCAACTCATCCAAATGCTCCTCCTCTTGCTGGTGCTTCATCTTCTACTCAGAGGAGTGGGGGTGAACCCACTTCTGAAGTCTTGGTATCTGGTCAGGATTCTGCACTTGTTTCTGGACAGCCAGTTACTCAACCATCTTCTTTTCAAGCTGATCAGGTTCCTGCCTCTGGGTCAGGATCAAATGCTGCTGTTAATCAGCTTGGGACTTCCTCAATCAATAGGTATGTTTGTGTCTCAAACTTGATTCAGAGTCTTGATGGTTTCCTTTATTTTTTTAGCTCCATATGAGTTGCAATGTTACACTTGCATATTATAGTCATGGAAGGAATCCTTCAAAAATGCAATGAGGTCACAATTACTACCACAAGAAAGCCACCACCCTCGCCCTTTCGAGAAAGGGGCACAGGAAAAATTCCTTCTCGTGGATTTTACCCTTTTTAATGGCTATCTCATGCGCCTTAATTCCCTTTCACCGTGTATGAAAAGTGGGCAAACAAAATGAATCATATCATAAATGTTGAATCTTAGAAAAGAGGGGAGAGGAGAAAAGTAAAAGGCCAAGGGACAAAAGAAAAATATAGCTAATATATTCTCTTATTTTTTGCTTATTATTGAGTTATGGTATTGCAGGATTCCTCCTCAATCTTCTTCTAACAATCAAGACAGAGCCGGACCATCAGATTTTCAGTCTTTTTCAGATTCTATAAAGTCTCGATTTAGTGCAATGTCAATGAGGTATATGGAAACTCTAATATCATTTCTTATAACTCTTCAGATGACTTCTTAAACATCAGATAATTTATTTGCTTGTAAGCCCTATTTACTTGATTTGATCGTCATGTTTTAGATACAAAGAATCTTTAACAAAGAGTTCAAGGGGTTGGAAAGAGAAATTATTCTCTCGTAATAGTTCAACACCAGACCATTGTGCTGAATCTAGGAATGAAGTCAGTGCAGCTGTTGCCACTGTATCAAACCTAATGGAGCATTTGGAAACAACTGATAGCAGAGCCAGTTCTGCTGAATCAAATATATCGGAGGACACTTTACCTGTCGGTCATGCTGAGCAGCATGCACCTGTGATTGATAATACCCATTCTTTGAATGAGGATAATAGGCAAGCCCCATGTGCTGCAAGTTCTGGTTCGAGCTAAGTTTTGAATGACTCATAGCACTTTCTCTTAAAGGTAACTTGTCTTCTTCTAAGAGTTCCAATTCTTTTTAGTTTCTCTACCCTCCTCCCTTACCCCTCCCCCCCCCAAAAAAAAAATTTTAAAAAATGAAGAAAGAGATGGAGAGAGATCCAAGACAAAAGTGGAATTGTACGAGGAAAAAAGATGGTTTCTCCGAGAATACTACATGCTGGTGGTTTTTGTCGTCTCCAATGAGTTTGGCTCTTAAGCACCCTAGTGCTTCTGGGTACGATGATAGGAGCTGCCTATTGTATTTCAAGTGCATACTGATTAGAGAGACAGAAAAGCCTTGTTGTGTCGAAGCAAGTTGATATAGTAGACCATTGAGCACATTGACAAACCTTAGTTGTTACGTGACCTCTGCCGCTTTTTGGAATAGCACATGACTAGAACCATATCTCTATTGTGAGATTTATATTTTCGTCACTGTGGACAGAAAGAAACCGTAGCTATCTTAAGGTTGAGGAAAGACTTCTATTTCTTATCTTTGTTAAGTTCAGATGCCTGACAGAACTTGTATTTTTGGTATAGTAAAAGTGCAATGCAAGGCTTGGAACACATGCTAGAGTTTTTGTACTCCTTTCATGTGTAAATTCCTAGAATTCCCTATTCATTTTTGTAACATGTTATAGTACTTTCTTGGTGTCAGACAGATTAAAAAAAAATTGTTTATAGAAAAAACGAGAGAAGTGAGAACTGTGATCAACAAGAATTTGATGATGTGGACTGAGAGGAATAAGGAGTTTTAAGAGTGTTCCTATGACTTCCTTTTAGCACTATACCGAATTCCTCTAGTCAATTAGCAGAAGGTGCCTTTCTTGCAAGAAATGCACTAGGTGTCCTCCTTTTGGCAAATCTTCTGGTGATCCTCCAGGAACCGAACTCCAACTTCTGGCATGGAGGCTGTTTTCACACCTCCTTTTTATATGGGGTTAAAAGTTAAATAGCAGTGTGGAATGATCCTTTTTGTATAACTTTCCCCCTTTCTTCTTCTTGTTCCTCCCTTTATCCCTCTCTCTCTCTCTCTCTCTCTCTCTTGGGTGCTTGGAAGAATTGTGTCTAGGACCAAGATTTTCTGCACTTCTCCTGCCTTGTATTGTAACTTCTCGTTATGCATCTTCTTCTTTTCGTCAATGCAGTTATCTATTTATTACAATGAATTCCTTCCTCCTGCAGGTGGATACTCCTGTCAACATCAGTAATATATATGATTGCATTTTATTGGATCTGTGGTGAACGCTAGTACGTTGAAGTTCATCACTGAATGTAGCCTCTGCTTCAATAAAATAGGAATATGGATCCCATCATTTGGTCCAAGCCGTATATATGTAATGATAATATAGATGTAAATTGTCCTGTTCTGGATAGTACTGATTAATACAACCCTCCTTTATAATCTTCGTTAAAAATTCTTAGATTAATTTTTTCTTGGGATCTAGTTACATTGCACATTCACTTTTAACACAAACCTCAATCTTGAGTAATGTTGAATGTGTACATTGATTAATCATTTCTTAGGTGCCTTTATTTCTGTTATGTTTAATTTTATGATCATATAAAGAACTTTCCTAGCGTTATAGGTACTAGAACATAAAAACTTTAAAATGGTTTCATTCCTTTTTCCTGCTAAATTTTTGTTGAGAGATTTGTGTATCGGCTTGCAAGTCGTTACACAAGATACATATGTAACGACTGGCAAATCAAGTAGTGAAGCATAGGATGTATATGTGTATTGGCAGCAATGACAGACGTGTATAGTAAAACCAATGTGCTTACTTGGTTGTTGCATCGCGCGTATTTGTCTCAGAATAAGCAAACATACCAACCCTTGAATAGTTTAATAACGGTTGTTCAGATGTTTAGATTTGGAATAGGAGAGAAATGAATTCCAACTTCGTACACACATTGATCTGTTCTTTAAGGAAAACTGCCAGAATCTACATTTCTACTATAACAATTCAGTACGGAAAGATAATCAGTCAATCCCGTAGTGTCACTGGTTACAATTTGAACACTCTGATTGATTCTTATTCCTGAAAGAAGTTCATTGACATTTAACACCAAAACCAAACTTCAAACTGTCCTTCAACCGGGGATAAGATACGAGAATTACTGTCCTTCAACCTTGTTCTGCCACCATTCCATGAATTTAACCTGGGCAGCCATGGTGTCAAGCCTGTATAGCTGCAGCCAGTGGTTAGCAACTTCCTGTCCAAATGTCCAGCCAAAGACAGCGCCAGCTCCAAGAGACAGTGCAGTACCTACCGAATGGAACATCAATAAACAACAAAGTCAATCATCTTAAGATTTTTAATCAGTCCAATGATTCTCCCACACCAAAATTTTAATACACTAAAACCCATTCTGTTTTGTGTTCTCCAATCTCCACAAAACTTAGGGTGAAGTCTGATGTATGTTTTAAGTACAAATAAGTTGCAGAGACATCAAACCAGTTTTTTCAAGGCACTGAAAGTATAGAACCTGAACTGTATTAATTTTGACCAAAAAGGATCAAAATGATCAAAATTAGTCAAAATACTACCATATATTTTCCTAAAAAATGAAATTGTGTGACAGTTGGTCTATGCAAGATTTGTTACTTTCTTTAGGCCGACCATGTTTGAACTTTGTTCATGAGGAAGATAAGGGGAATGCAATCTATCCTTACTATTTTTAATCTGAATATGGGCAAAGATGAGCAAAGAAATCAAAAAGTTGCCACATCAGTGAAACATATTTACACTTTAACTGTAAAAGAACATAGAACAGATTCGACGATGGCAATAGTCATGCAGTCAGAGGTAGTCAAGGACAGAGCAAGAGAATCATCACGTGTAAAAGTTTTCTTATGGGGACACACTTGGGGAAGATGATGGAAATGGAATCTAATATAAAACTTTCATTCCTTTGATTGGTGGAATCTAACATAGAACTTAACACGTCAAATATTCTTTGACTCGAACATTTCGATATGAACACTTAATACTCAAACATATACGATACCTAGAAATACTTAACCTATTTGCAAAGACATCATTGATAATCAAGTGGCAAAAACTTCTAGTAAAATCAGATTTACCAAAACATTTATGAATGAAGTTACAATCCAAGGTAACTAACTGCTGAAGCCTCTGGTTCTTAAAAGACCTTTAATGCACAAACATTGGGCAATGAATTAGTAGTAATATTATGACAGCAATGTGGGTGGGGGTGGTGTGGGGATTTAAGTTCAACATACCATGCAAACTCCTGGAATACTTCCAAGTAACACCTGCAGTTGAAACAGCTCCAATAATGCCTCCTACAGCACTAATCTTTGCTGCTTCCCTAGCAGTCCTCAGCTGGAAAAAAAAATAGAACATCAATTGGCAAAAAAATAGAGGAATGGTTTCTGAGAAACAGTAGGATTATCAGAGGATAAAAACACAAAAATATGCAACTTCTTATCATCTGGCGTCACCAATATATCCTACACCCTCCTGTACACAGTGACAGACTGACCAATAAGCAGTTTCAGGCACAAGAGAGACAGAGAGAGACAACAAATGAATTTCATTTCAAGTAGTGATAATACATCAATACTAGTTTGAAAACCGTGTCCGCCAGCTCAAATGGAGACATAAAGATGAACGAGGTTAAAGAAGATAAGCTGACGTTGGGGATAACTTCGAATCAACAGAAATTGGGGATAATCCCCAGAAGCATACTAGCAGAAAAATTAAGAAGCTAGTTTCCATTTGTATGCCTACTTTTTCTCATTCCCCCTCTCCCTGACTTCTCTCAAACTATTCAGAATAAGGGAAAAGGAGACAAACAAAGAACAGTTTCAAAACTCTTCTCCTTATTGTTTGCATGGATGGAAGAAGAGAAAAGAAAATGAAACAAAGGAAAATACCTCAACAACCTAAAACTATATTTGAACCAGATAGATATAGATAAGACTTTATGTTTACAAACAACAACAACATACCTAGTGTAGCCCCACTCAAGTGGGGTCTGGGAGGGTAGCGTGTATGCAGCAACAACATTATGTTTCTCAAACTAAAGTAAAAAGAATGTCGCTATTAACTTTTTTTTTTATTAGTATAAGTGTATTTATTTACTGCATATGCTCAAAATGGTTAGAAGGAAACATGGAAGGAGCCTGATAATGTATGCCCATAGCTGGTCTATTTTCTTATCTACCCAGCTTACAAATTTGGAGCATCAGCAAAAAATAGAACATCCTTGTGTGAGCTTGCATGCTCAGTGGTGCAGGTATGTGGACTTGCATTTATTCTGAAAGAGATAGACAGGGCAAGAGTGATGGTGTCTGAAAGCAAGGGGAACTGTCTTTCTTTCTGAAGAAATATAAGGCAGCAGCTCCTCAGGAGCAGGGTTCTCATAGTGGCATAAGGCAAGATTTTTTTAAAGAGAAAAGATGACTGACGTTTAAATAAAAAGAAGACGAAGAAGAGAATGACAGAAAATCATGGCAATAGAAAAAAAAAATAGGAAGACAGTGAACGGAGAATCATTTTACTGGCAGAAATCTATATTTTCCGGCCAAAACCTTTTCTGCACACCTCAATTTCACATGGGAACACCATCTGCCATCTGAGCATTAATGGTTTTGTACACACATATTTGACAACTTAAGGTAATAGGTCTCAGCTAGAGTTCATGTGTCTAAATGAAAAATAGTGTCAAGTATAAAGGGCCGTCAATGTACTTGGACCCTGGAGAATCTACTCCAGGTACAAATTCACCAACTATTAAGACAAGCTAAATTAGTAGATGACTGCAAGAAAAAGAAATGAAATTTCCGAATAAATTTTTGGTGATTGAGAATGCAACAAAGCCAAGAGATTTTCCAGGACACCACTCAATTCAAGAGTATCCCTGAGAAGATTACCTAAGCTAACTTCAGCTAGCACTATGAAGAAATGCACTTCAACTTTACCATAAATGCATGCCAATGGTGAATCACTAAGACAAATTCCAGAGAAAGCTAAAGAATATAATCACAAAATCACCCAACCAATCTAGAGAACCATATTCAAAACTGAATTAAACACCCAAACTAGTTACAATCACAAAATTACCCAATCAATCCAAATTGAGATAAACCCAGGAAGAAACTGCACAGCAATTGTCTCAATCGTAAATCTAACAGCATAAGCAAATTAACCAAAGGTATGGATCAAAAGAGACGAATCAAAGAGGACCCAGATGGATAAACGCCTAAATATATGTAAAAACACACAAATCAAATGAAAAGTAAGCATATGAGATATATTTGAACGGGAAAAAAGAAGGGAAATACAGTGGGTCCGTGAAGTGGGTCAGAAGCAATGAATTCCTCGACATCAGAATCAGACCAAGAAGGGAGTGGCTTGTCGCGCTTGATGAACCTTGAATAGTTGTCCAAAAAGGAAAATCTCTCGCCCCAAAACTCCTTGTATCCTTCCCAATGCCTCCTCAGGAAGGACTGGGATGATGATGAATCCTCAGCCATTGTTGATCGATTTTAGAGCTCTTCTTCTTCTTCTCAAAAAGTGGTCCTTCTAGAATTATTCCTAGGTTGGTGTGATGAATGATGATACACTGATGTTGATTGCTCTTCCATTTCTGCTAGCCGCAGCCGACCCGACCCGTATCTTAACACGTGGATAAGGGTCGCCTGGTCTGGGTCGGACTAGAGGGTGATTCTCCGCAATATCACTTTTTCTGCGACATAGATTTCGAAAAAAAAAATTATTTTCTTTTAGGTTAAACTACCTAATTAAACACACATTATATCTATTATAATTATAATATAATCTATACATTCAAATAACTACTTATAATCCTATTATCTAATAATCGTATACCAAATTTGAAGTGAGATACATCTCTCTTTAAAATTAATCTAAAATATAGTCATTAATTACCTATCCATTTAATTTTCTCTATAATTAATGCTTTCACTCTTAATTAGCTTTGTCTCTCCTAAATTTTCCCTCCCAGCTTCACCAACGATTTTGATGGTCGTACAAGCAGAAATGCCAGCAAGCCCAGAGAAAAGGTGAGCATATTCATTAAAAAGTATGACATGTTTACTTCTCCATCCCTCTCATAGTTTTGCACTTCTACCGATCACCTCACTTTGTAAAGTATGCTCCTTACTAATAGGTCTTGTTGAAAACTAGAAGGCTCTTGTCTGCTACGTCTCATAAGAAATTTCTATAGAGGATTCTCAACTTCCTATGACAATGATATGTCTAAAATCGAGACAAATAATAAAGAGAGTATTAATCCTGAAACAGAGAATTTGTATTAGATTCTCAATATTTTTCACTTCGCCCAACAATGACTTTGACATTTTTTTTGGTTGATTTTGAGGCTCTGGTGATGTTGGAACCAAATGAAATCGTGTAAAATATAACCAATTAATTAATGTGGCATCACAGAGATTAAGCAAGTCTCACACAAGAGAAGACTAAGGCGACTACAACATTAAGGAAGTCGAAGATAGGAGCAGTTTCACCACCGCTAAAAGTAGACATTTTTCCAGTTGGATATCAGATACATAGAAAAATAATTTAAATACACATAATGAACAGATCAAACACATAAAATTATTAAGTACATATCATATATATATATAAAAGAAACTATATCATATTTATAGAAGAACAATCCATATACATAGAATAAACATATCAAATACATTTAATCATAAACTATTTATTAGATACATAAATGATTTTGTATCAGATACATAGAAGAATAGTTCAGATACATGGAACGAACAAATTAAATATGCAAAAAATTGATTTTTTTTTCTAAAAAAAAAAAGGAGTTGTGATACAGCAGATACTCCAAAGTGGTTATAGGCATGATTTCTTCCTTAATTTATGCATTTCAATTACATTTCTTATTTAGATACACTTAATTATATGTATTTAATATACATGTACCTCGATGCGTCATATATATTTATATTCGAGGTGTAAATTATGATAGGATTAGTAATATTGCAAACTCATAAAAAGAAAAGTAATTAAATTCCTAAACTAGTGGAATTTCTATTGTTTACCCTTTCTTTTATTCATTTTATGTGACTAAAAAACTTAAATTCTTCAATTTTTAGATGTTTACATAAGTGACTCGAATTTACTGAATGTTATAGTGAGTAAAAGTTTGATTAATAATAATTATATGACTTCATGTGACAATAAAAACTACTTCCTTTGTCATATAAAGACATGATTATTGAAGTTTTGAGAATTAATTAAGTTATTTTGCTTACGAAGTATTTTATTTGTCTCAATTTAAGTGACATTTTTTGAATTTCAAAAATTAAACTAATCTTTTTTCATAATTATAATTTTTTTATATATATTTTAAATATTCAATTATCATGACTTATAATTTTCAAATACATAAATTCATTTTAATTTTTTTAATAATAATTATCAAAACTCACATGCATGAAAGCGGCAGTAGGGGAACAGGTACTAATATAACACTTCACTCTCATGAAAACGAACCCCACACAGTATTCAAGAATCCAGAAGGTCGTTTGGTGGCTAACTTTATTACACTAAATAAAAAATCACCCTTTTTAGTAAATACCTTTCAAAATTCATACCCACAAACAAATTTTCCAACTCATCTCAAAATCTTTCAGCCCCAAAATTCAAATACACCAACTTTTTTTTTTGCCGGTAATGAGGCCTGCGGGAGTATTTGCCGGAGTGTTTCTTTTGTTCGCACTGTACTGTGGGTTTGACCCTTTTAAACACAGTGCGATTTCTGAAATCAAAGACTTTAAAGCTTACAGAGTTGATCCACCAGCTTGGTCTGAAATCCCTGTAGAAAAGGATACCCAAAACTTGCTTCAGAAATCGGAAATCAAGTTTTTGAACCAGATTCAGGGTCCGGAAAGTATCGCATTTGACCCGAAAGGTCGTGGGCCCTACACAGGAATAGCTGACGGGAGAATTGTGTGGTGGGATGGAGAGAAATGGACTGATTTCGCATATACCTCTGCTAATAGGTGAGTCTATTCGTTGTTTTTCCTCCATTTTAATTTGTTTATCCGATTTTGACTTGATACAGTAAAATACTGTTGAATCTTATGGTGTTAAGCTAGAGATATGTTGAATGTATCAAAATGCAAGTTAATCTTGTAGTGTACTAGTGTTACAGTGAAAAGTTGAAATGAAAGAATTGTTAAAAAAATCTTTTTTAAATAACTTAAAAAGAAAGTAAATAAACAAACTGAAATGGAGGGAGTAGTGCTTTTTATGATGGATCCTGTAGAAATGTGTTAATTTCTGTGGAAACAGTATGATACTTTAACATGCAGATGCTATTTTATTTTAGTATAACATAAAAGTTTATAATGATTCCATTTTTTAAATTATCCTTTTGATTCACTGTTTGGCACTGTATTACGTCAGCTTAGTACTTGGTTTAATAACTTCTAAAGCATGACTTCATACCTTATTACAATGATAATCTTTGTTGCTATGCCCTTTTGATGAAAGCAGACCGTAACGGTGAGATATGCTGCATTTCACTCTTAATTTGTATCGTTGCTCCTAACTATTATGATTTTGGCTTGATGAATATGCCTGTTCCACAAGCTGCTGGAATCCAAGCCTCTACGTAGTTGATATTCTCTAACTAAGTCACATAAAGCATGCTCTTTATTGTATGACGCTAGCGTATTGAAGCACTGGAATCAGATGGGAGTCAATCTCATTCTAAGAAACTTTCTTGCTTTGGTCAATTCAGGATAGCATGAGAGCACATGAGGAAATGATCTTCAGATTCTAATAAGAGGAAATGAATTTCTAACAAAATGTCTCAGTTTTCTAAGCTATCTGGCTTGAAGTTGTCAGGAAAGACGAAAGGACCATAAGTTCCTGCTCCACAGAGAGAGTTAATAGTTAGTCTTTTAATTCCGATTATGACAGTAGACCTGTGTCAGGGGAATGCCTATTGTTTCCTTTATCTTATCGTTTAATCTGACTTAATTAAGTTCTATGATCCTAGTATATTCTGAACTTCTAATTATGTAATTGGAATTGGAATTGTGATGTGTTAATGATTGTCGATCTTGCATGCTAGTATGTAAGGCCGTTAAGCTAATCTGGTTAAATCAAATTTTAACATGTCATAACTTGTCTTGCTCTTAATGAAATTATCTTCTATAATTATGCTGCATAGTCATCGTATAAAGTCTCAAATTGCATTTTAAATTTTCTCTTTTAGATGATCTAAATTTCTGGTCTACTTTCACCGATTTCCTAATGCATTCTAGTGATCTGAATTTTCAGGTCTGGCCTTTGTGACCCAAAACCATCACCCCTGAGCTACTTAGAAAATGAACACATCTGTGGTAGGCCTTTGGGATTACGGTTTGATAAAAGAACAGGTGACTTGTATATTGCAGATGCATATTTTGGGTTGATGAAAGTAGGGCCTGAAGGCGGACTAGCAGAAACATTGACAACTGAGGCTGAAGGAGTGCCTCTCAGATTCACAAATGACCTTGACATTGATGATGAAGGAAATGTCTATTTTACAGATAGCAGCACCAAGTACCAACGAAGGTACGTAAAATTGTGAATTTACTGTTTCTTCGGTTTTATGTAGATCTCTTGATATATTTGACATGATTTGAGAATGAACATTCCATTTCACTATTAGTTCTGATTAATACCAAATGGGAGACAGAGGGCTCCCTATCTTTAGCGGGGAGAAAAATGGTTTCTTTTAAAAAACAATGCGTCTAGGACAGAAAAATGAGAGTTAATGCCCAACTCTGATAACATATAGTGAATAGATGATCATCGAGAAGCTTAGATTTTAACGCGGTTACATGGTTGCACCAAACTTTGCTAACATTTCTTCTGTTCAATGAATACCCAACTCTGCTAACATATAGTGAAGATGTTTATATGGGATTTGGAAAAACCTTGCATTGCCATATATAAGCATTTATTTCAGGTTTTAATACAACATGGTTTAAGTGTCATGCGCGTTTCTTCTTTAATTAGAATATTAATACCCACCCCATCTTGCACAGGAATTATATGCTGCTGGTTTACTCAGCAGAAGATAGTGGGAGGGTTCTGAAGTACAATCCTAATACAAAACAAACCACTGCTCTTGTTCGGAATCTCCAATTCCCAAACGGTCTGTCACTAAGCAAGGACGGTTCCTTCTTTGTATTCTGTGAAGGTGCCAAGGGAAGGTACGTTTTTCGACCTATGGATTAGCATGTTTACAGTATTAAATAGACATACAAGGATCCTGTTTCTGACTTCACCTTAAAACTTGTGGTATTAACATGTAATGGAATGATGCGTTTCTCTTATAGATTACAGAAGTACTGGTTGAAAGGCGAGAAAGCGGGGACCTTAGAAGTGATGGCAGTCCTCCCAGGATATCCCGACAATGTCAGCACAAATGAGAGAGGTGAATTTTGGGTAGCAATCCACTGTCGCCGTACCATTTACAGCTATATAAATTCCATATACCCACAACTTCGTCTATTCTTGCTGAAGCTTCCTATCCCAGTAAAGCTCCGCGCCCTCTTGCACCTTGGAGGCAAGCA